GCTGGATTGGCTGGTGCTTCTGGTGTCCACTGGAGGCCAATTTGACAACCATCGACCATTCTTGCTGGAGCCGCTGCCCCCATTGGGCCGAATGCTGGTCTTGTTTGGCCGTAGTGACTGTACTCGCTTTGTGCTGCTGGCCCATATGGGCCGGCAACTCAATTTGGAGATGCTGGTGCTGGTCAGGAGAAGCCTCTATGGTCACCATTGACAGCTGATGCTGTCCCTGGTGATCCTTCTGGTCCGTCTGCCGTATTGGTTGCTGTTGTGCCATGCCATTGGAGGCCGTCGTGGCCACCGTCGGTTGGTGATGTTGTTGTTGGCTCTGCTGCCCATCTTGGTGGATTGTTGCTTGTTCATGGAGGCCATAGGAGGCCGGATTGGCTGCCATCGACTGTTGCTGTTGCTTTTGTTGCCCCCAGGGGGCTTGCTGCTGGATTTGCGGATGTTCATGGAGGCCATAGGAGGCCGGATTGGATGCCGTCGGCTGGAGCTGTTCGCATATGCCTCGTTGCTGCCGTGTTGTCAACCGGATGAGCCGATCACCGGTAAGTGAGAACTGAAATTGACTTAAAATTTCTCTAATTTTTCTGTTCTTATCGGGGTCCGATTTTGTTAGTCTCTTTATTAGTGGCGGATAAATTGATCTGTTAGTTAGTGGCTGAGGTAATTTTTCTTTAAGTGCTATATGCATCATTTCCATCCATATATCATCTATATAATTACGCTCTTCTAAATCAATATCAGTGGTCTCAGTACATACTATAAAGAACATAGCATCAATTATGTCCTCATAGATGTTGTCTTCTAGCTGTTGCTCTTCATCAGTCAGCTGTAGTTGTTCTTGTTGTTGTTTTTGTTGCACATTGTGCATTAATGGCTGTTGGATAGAGAAATTAAATTCCTGATTAATGCTATCTGATGGCAACTCTAGGTTGTCCATCTGATTATTATGCCATAGAGTGCATGTTTTGGGCACGCTGTATTTTATCTTACTACGCGCTAGTGTTGCACGTAGCAGCGTGTGCCCTCTATATTTCTTTTTAGACATAGAGGTACCTTTTCGGCTACGGCTGAGTTGGGGAGAAACATATTCTGCATGATTGTATATATCATTCATGAATTCGAATGCATCCTCAGAATCAAAATCAAAATTTGATTCTAAGGCTGCTTGTATATCATCTAAGATGTATTTTTGAAGCTCATCGACGGCTTCTATATATTGCTTATGGCGTTTATTTGCCTTATTGGTTGTCTGGCCGATTGCCAAATCTGTATTATTATCGCTGATGCTAGCGAAATTGAGGGCTGTTGCCTTATTGGTTGTCTGGTCGATTGCCAAATCTGTATTATTATCGCTGATGCTAGCGAAATTGAAGGCTGATAGCCGATTTACCTGTCTGCATGAGTAAGGAGTGGCTTTACATGTTAATACATTAATTGCAGTTTGTTCGTTCCGAGTGTTTGTTATGTTCTCCCAAACTCTACGGCCGTTTCTCTTAGTGTCTCTTCTTGTTTTATACATTTTGTATATCATTGGCGTCTTGACGGGCGCTATCAATCTGTGATCTAGATAGCGTCCGTGTGGCTGAGCCGTGCAAATTTGTTGCAGGCATAGAAATATTTGAGTTGGCTACTATTTGTAATAGTAGGCCAACTACCTGATCCAATTTTTGGGCCATTTGATGCATTGCAGCCATATCGCTTGTAAAAGCTTCTATAGCTGCATTATTGGCCGGAATTTCTCCATTTAGCTGTTTTTGTTGTTGTTGTTGTTGTTGTTGCTGTCGTTTGTATTGCTGCTGATGGGTAGATATTGATGTATTTGTAGCCCTCTCTGCCACTGATTGGCCCGACTGCTTCTTCTGCTGCTGTTTGTGTTCCAGCTGGAGCCTCTGCTGGAATTGTTGAAGATGTTTAGTGGCCGGATTACGTGCCCGGCCAGAATTGGCATGCCCTCTAGCCACCTGACTGTATGTCATAGTGGAGTTGACCATATTTTTATGCTTTTGTTGTTGACTGGACGCCTCATTATGCGCTACTTTAGTGCGCTTATTGACTGCTAGCTGATGCTTCTGCTGCTGCTGCTGATTAGTTGATGTACGTAATCTATTAGCAGCTAGCTTAGCTCGCTCATCCTTAAAGGCCTTGCATCCTTTATAGCTGGCAATATGTTCACCCTGGCAATTGGCGCACCTAGAAGGCGCGCCTCTTGCCTTGGTGCACATTGTTGTGGGGTGTCCTAGCCCGCATTTGAGGCATATGAACGGTCGACGGCAATAGTTCTTGCTGTGACCATATGCCTGGCAACGGTGGCACTGAACAGGATCAGTGCGCTTCCGCTGCCTCTCCACTTTAACTTCCTGGCTGCCAAGATGCTTTATTTCCAGTATGTTATTATTAGTGTCCGCTTTCGGCTCAATTTCTATTTCAAAAATATTTATTGGCTTGGCCGTGTAGCGTTGTTTTAAAACGTCCACATATCTCACCACATGTCCCAATCTTCTCAGCTCCATGCGAATCCAATCGCATGGCGTTGAATAGTGCAGGTGGCGTATAATATACCGTGCTCCGCGCTCATTGCGCAGTTGATGGGTATGCCGGTATATATTTGATGCATCAAGCAGCTTGATTGCTGCATTGTATGCCTCAATATCGGCACATTGTACTCGCACACCACCTGCCTGAGTGCATTTGGTGGCGAATTTATTGGCACCCAAATTGTTCGTGATATTTGCAGTTAACTGTTGAATATCATCCACATTGGGCAGATAAATTGTGGGCACTCTGACCCTATGAGCTGTTGTCTGCTGGATTGGCTGGCCGGAGTCTGTATTCGACATACAGTTGGAGGCCGTTTCTTCAACTTCCATGTCATCATTCTCACTATCGCTGACCCTGTTGTTGTTGTTGTTGTTGTTGTTGTTGACTGTGGCTGTGAAGGTAGCATTCTTAATATTGCCAGCATTCGAGCCACCACTTTTAGCTGGGCGCTTATTAAGTGTTTGCTTAGTCGCTATTTTTTGTTTTTGTGGCCGCTTGGCAGCCGTATTGTCATTTGTTGGCTCAGGCATTTCGAACCCCAAAATAATATCCATTATATCAATTGGTGGCTGTCCGCTCGCCTCATTTTCAAATCCAGAAATTTCCATTAAATTTGTTGGCATATTTGCAGCATAATTATTTGCAATAATGTCCTCATTGCGGACGCATTGGCTAGCCGATAAGTTGGAATCGGCATTGTTTAACTCATTTCCAGCTTCCTGGCTTGTTAAAACACAGTGCGAGTCTGTGTCAGTATTGGCTGGGCTGTCAGTATACATGTTGCCGTGTACTTGCGCTCTAGCAACATGTTGCTGACGCCCCATGTTCTCGCTCCAAACATTTGGCTCTGAGTTCGTATCGAACATGTTGCCATGTTCGCTCTCACTCAGTCCATTGCTGTCGCTGTTGAATTCACTCAGCTCAGTTGCTGCTCTGCTGCCGCTGCCACCGCCACTCAAACGATCAAGTGGAGCCTCTGCCGACGCAAGCGCCGACAGCGACTGAGCTGCAGAGAGCGGAGTCGCTCGCTTATGTTTCGGCTTCGGCTTTCTCTTCTTCTGCTGCTGATGTTGTTGCTGCTTCTGATGATGTAGCGGTTGCCGTTGCTGGTGTTGGTGTGGATGCTGATTCAGCTGTATTGGAGTGCCAATGGCTACAGGTGCCGGGGTATGGGGGGCAACTTTCGCTGCAGCGATGGCCGCCTCCGCTTTAGACGCCGCCTTTTCGCGCATTTTTTCGCTTATATACTTTGCTTATATACTTGCCAAAATTTGCATATACGTAGTTATATGTATAATTTATGTATGTTTTTTTTTTTTTTGGGCGTAGATTTCCCTCTGTCTGTCTCCTCGTCTGGTCGTCTCTCCTCAAATTGTTGGCTTGTTAATATTATTAACAAAAAAGATTACTGCACTTGCACAAGTCACAATATTTAATTACTTTATTATTTATATAATATTATTTATTGATTTATTAGCATTTAAAAATGCTGATTGGCATTATTAATTTATTTAATAATATTATTTAATTAATTTATTGACTGTCATTTTTCCATTTAATTTCCATTTTAATTGTCTTTGGTGTTTTAAGCATTTAAAAATGCTGATTGGCGTTTAATTTTCATTTATTAAACTGATTTTAATTTAATTTATTAACCCAAGCATTTTCCTTTATTTGATTTTAATTTAATTTAATTTTTATTTTATTGGAAAATATTAAAAACACTTGTAAAAATTTTTTTTAGTTTGAGTGTTCTTGTTGCGCGCGGGCGCGGGCGCTGGCCGGCCGGCTGTCTGGAGCTCGGCGAAAGCACGTCCGTCCACGACGAGCCAACCACAAGAACTTCAAAATGCTTTATTGTTGTCCATTTCTACTTAAACTATGCGTCACAAATCAGAAATTTTGACAACATTGGGTGACTCTTATAATTTACAAGACATATACTCTCTGGATTGTGAGGCAGAGACAATTGACATTGATTAACATTGAGATACATTTAACATGGATTCTCGACTAACCTACTTATTAACAGTGCCAAAATGAGTACGATTAACATTCTTAGTGTAGGTCAGTTTAACATGGGGGAAATTTTTTGCGATCAGTTGGCAATGCTGACGCAGTGTTGGCAAGTACATGTGTATTAGGAAGCATGCTGCTCGCATGTAAGTATTTGAATATTATTAATTTTAACAAAATTATTGGCTAGTTTAATTTGATTTCTATATCTACTTTGTATCGCACCGCTTTGCGGTGCGCAGGTCGCCTGGCTATTGCCCTGGAGTGGGTAATTTGGATCCCATGGAGACCAGGTCGTCGCTTGGCAGGCTGAGCCTGCAGCCATATGCGCTCTGTGGCCACGGATGTGACGAGCGCCTTCCAGGTGATGGATTGATGCTGTGCCCTTAGGCCGATGCTGGATAGGAGTAACCATACCCCCAAGATTTTTGGCCATTGTACTACCCATTTGCCACTAGTGTAGTGGATAAGTATGCACGCTGGCTTATTGGCATGCCGTTGTTGTTGCATTCGGCTTCTCTTTGGCGAGGGAGGATCAGCATAAGCGGGGTCCACATGGTGCCGTTTGCCGAGCTGTAGTCGCTGTTGGGATAATTGTAGATCCCAGGTTGAAGCTAAGTACCTGCATGGTTTTTTTGGCGTCAGCTCTGATTCAGAGACTGTGTGCTTGATGGCTGGACGTTTTTGCTGATATTCGTTATTCTTGCAGGTATTGTTAGGCCGTTGAGCGGTTTGAGATGGGATTCTCTTCCGTTTCAGCCTATTGGCTGGCGACGTGTCTTGGAGCTGCTGTTGCTGCGGCTGCGGAGTGGCTGGTAGCTGCCGGGTATCCAGCAGCTGAATTGATTGTTGCAGTTTCTGCTGTGAAAGCACCGTCTGGGCTGTCTGCGTAGGCTGCTGCTGCTGTGGCGGCTCATTGTCGTCATCTGCGTGGATTGGTGCCATCAGGCCGGTAGGCTGCTCATTTAGCCGGATTAGCTGATTACCAGAGGTAGGTATCTGTGAAATAAAAGAATGTGTGTTATTGTCCACGCCACTGGGGCTGCTGTTGATCCAAATGACAGAGTCATCATCATCATCATTGTTGGAATCGTCTGCCGTCAGGTCATATATTGTCCGTTGGGCTGATTGGTGGGCTGTTTGAATCCTCTGTTGCTCATTGTGGCTTTGTTGCTGCATCTCATCTATTTCGCGTTCAATTTGGATTCTGATTTGTTCCAAACGTTGGCTTAGTTGCTGTTCATCATTGTTGTTGTTTAGGTGTTCCTGTTGTTGTTGCTGTTGGCCAGTTGGTGGTGGTGTTTGCGCTATTTGTATATCAGACAGGATTAGTTTTTGTATGATGGCTGGTTGATCCCGGATGAAATCAATTAGATTTTCGCTTGACATGAGTCCACTTCTGTAGCGACGTCTAAGCGTGTTTATTTGTCCCTCGCCGAATCGAATGGTAGGTCTTGGCCGCTGTCCGTATGTATCTGTATTTAGACTGGGCGCATTGGCTTGTCTCCTTGCCTCCTGTTCCTCATGCTCAAGTCGCAGGAGTGTTGGCAGTCTGTCCTCCATTTCTTGGTCATCGGTTGTTAGGTGCTGCTGCTGCAATTGTTGCAAGGGGCGCACGTGACGTTCAAGCTGGAGCGAGTATAAGGGCCTATTTAGGCGTATTGGCGTATATGGTTCGCTTATTAGTTTGCGAGCATTTATATTTGGATGGTTGCTGAGGGCTCTAGCAAACCTTTCGCTAGCCTGTTGGTAGATTTCATCCACCGTGTCTATGCCGTGGGATTCCCGTATTGTCTGATTGCGCGTGTATCTTGTGGCCTTGGCTATTCTGCGTAGAATTTTATTTTGACCAACTTCAAGGCGATTGAATTGTGTTGATGATAATAATGCACCCCAAATTGGGAGTGCATAGCGCCATATTGGTGCAATCATTTGCTTATATATCGTCATTTTGCATGCGATATTTAGCGGGCTCTTGGCACCAATAAGCCAATCCAATTTTTTGCACAGTGCACCAGTGCGTGCACATAGCGTAGTGACGTGTTGTTTCATGTTCAGCTTCTTGTCCAGCTGAACTCCCAAATATTGGTGTCTTGATTTGTTGGCTATTTCCTGACCGTTTAGCCTTGGTGAAGTTACTGTCTGGCTTTGTCGTAGTGTCGTGCGCAATGTAAACATGACATGTGCTGTTTTGCTCACATTTACTTGTATGCACCAACGTTTTGTCCATTTCTCAAACGCTTGCAGATATCTATCATTTCTATTGACAGCTATATCGGAAAATGGCGCTGCACACATTACTACCGTGTCGTCGGCAAATGTGGAGAGCAGCATACTGGGAGTTAGTGTTGTATCTGCAGATGCAGATGTTGTTGTTGTAGGCTCATTTGTGGCCCATAAATTCCTCAACGCAGTTGAGGGGAGTGGCATGTCCGATGTGTATACTGTGTACAGTATCGGTCCCAATACACTGCCCTGGGGTACTCCAGCGCTAATATGTCCAATTCTCGATTTAGTTCCCTCATTTCCATTTACAATAAATGTACGGTCAGTGAGATAGCTTTTGAGTACATTCCACAAAACTGCAGGTAGTAATTTGGCCAGTTTGCTTAGCAGACCCTCGTGCCAGACACGATCAAATGCTTCGCAGATGTCGATGAACACAGCCGAGCAGTATTGTTTCTTTTCATACGCATTCAGTATGAATTGCGTTACTCTCGCCAATTGTTGTTCTGTGCCATGTTCCTTGCGGAATCCAAATTGGTGGTTCGGTATTGACTGGGCAAAGTTTTTGCATTCAAACATCCTCGTCATAAGGATTCGTTCGAATATCTTGCTGAACCCTGCCAGCAGACTTATTGGCCGGTAGGAGCTAGCCTTTTCCGTTGGTTTACCCGTTTTTAGGATCATTTTAATCTCTGCACATTTCCATTGGCGCGGAAAATGTCCGTGTCTAAGTATGCAGTTGTAAATGTGAGTGAGATATAGTATCGCTTTATGCGGAAGTGACTTAATAACATGATTGTCAATGTTATCAATGCCCGGCGTCTTTTTTAATGTCAAGGCGGCAATCAGTTGACATACCTCCTTGTCTGTGACTGGGCGGAATGGCGGTGTATTTATCTGCCCATGCTGCTGTTGTTGCTGTAGTTGCATAAACTGAGTCACCTCATTGCTGGTCTGTGATCGCTCTTCAGCCGTATTTGTTAAGTTTAGGCTGAATCTTTGCTCAAGGTATGCTGCAAAGACTTCTGCCTTCTGCTCATTCGTTTTTGTCCATTCAATAGTTCTATTATGATTTTGTATACCATTGCCATTGGACGTAGTGGTGCCAGAGATAATTTTTAATGGGCGATTCGGCTCTGGCTGACGTTTTATGAAGTTTGTGGTCCTCCATAATTGTTGTATCCGATTTGTGTCCGTTTCGTTTATCTTTGCTATTTGCCGGTTAAGATTATCATTCTTATCACGGCGCAGTAATCTATTTAGACGGTTTTGAGCCTGTCTGTATTGGCTGCGTGCTAACGGTGTGCGTAGCAGCATATATGAAGATTTTAGTTGCCTTTTTATTATTATTTGCCTCAGAGTGCTTGCGCTTAATTTATTTCGGCCATATCTCGTGCGACTTAATTGCTGCCATCTTCGGCGGAGGGGGGGAGTTGCAGCTGAGGCTGCATTCTCTATTTTTCTATACAGGATGTCGATTGCATCCTCTATGTCAGTTCCCGAATTAATTTCGATGTTTAATCGTAGATTTTGATTAAGTATTCTCTTAAATTTCTTGATATTTGCATTCCTTGGCAAAATTTTATTTTTTACATTGTTTCTATTCAGTGCCTGACCGATAGCCAGGTCAATAAGTATTGGCAGGTGATCAGAGTTTAGGTCGTTTATCGAATATGTACGTAGACGCCTGTCTCCAATGCCTCCATAGATGGCGAAGTCGATTGCGGATGGTTGATTCCCTCTTGCGTAGGGATAATGCGTGGTTCCGCCCGTCGCTAATATGTTATATTTTTTGTTCGAGTGTATTGTCCTCAATAGCTCCCTCCCTCGTTGGCAGTGTCGCATATTGCCCCACCAAGTGCTTTTGGCATTCCAGTCGCCACATATTATGAATCCCTGCGGACTCAGGCTATCAATGTGGCTAAGTAGTTTGCCAAAGTTTTCTGACGTCCATTTATATTGCGGTGGGCAATATATCGGAGCGACTAAAATGGTTTCCTGTGTTGATAAGGTGATGGCAACTGGTGCGCATTGGCAGGCATCTTGCATTATTGGTTCCAGAGCAATATGCTTGATGCCATGTCTGATGAGTATGGCGACACCTCCAAATCTTTGATTTGGTGCTTTACGTGTTGCCACATATGTGTGATAGCCATCTATGCTTGGTGAGACGTTGTTCGCAAATGGTCCTCTGACTGAGTTAGATGCTGACTGGCTGGCTCTTTGGCGTAATTCAATGACCATCATAATGTCAACATTGTGATGGCACATAAAGGCTTCCATTTCTCTGCACTTGTTGGATACTCCAGCAGCGTTCCAATAGGCCATTTTGAATGGGTGGCCACATTGTCTGCTACTGGCATGATTCCTAGTGTTATTGGCTAAGGTATTATTACTAGTTTGTATAGTAGTAGTGTCTAAATTGTTATTATTATTAATATTATTTAATGTGTTGGCATTGGTATTGTTTATATTAACGAATTGGCTGTTAGACATTTTTAAGGTCATTGGCGGCATTGAATGAGCTAGCAATGATGCTAGCTAACATTAAGGTGGCTGGGCATAGTATGTCCAGTGATTGTATCTCAGCATTATTTTTTAAAGTTGCTGTGTTATCCCGTGGGATGAGATGTTTATGGGCACAGTGCGAGTCTGTGTCAGTATTGGCTGGGCTGTCAGTATACATGTTGCCGTGTACTTGCGCTCTAGCAACATGTTGCTGACGCCCCATGTTCTCGCTCCAAACATTTGGCTCTGAGTTCGTATCGAACATGTTGCCATGTTCGCTCTCACTCAGTCCATTGCTGTCGCTGTTGAATTCACTCAGCTCCGTTGCTGCTCTGCTGCCGCTGCCGCCGCCACTCAAACGATCAAGTGGAGCCTCTGCCGACGCAAGCGCCGACAGCGACTGAGCTGCAGAGAGCGGAGTCGCTCGCTTATGTTTCGGCTTCGGCTTTCTCTTCTTCTGCTGCTGTTGTTGTTGCTGCTTCTGATGATGTAGCGGTTGCCGTTGCTGGTGTTGGTGTGGATGCTGATGCAGCTGTATTGGAGTGCCAATGGCTACAGGTGCCGGGGTATGGGGGGCAACTTTCGCTGCAGCGATGGCCGCCTCCGCTTTAGACGCCGCCTTTTCGCGCATTTTTTTGCTTATATACTTTGCTTATATACTTGCCAAAATTTGCATATACGTAGTTATATGTATAATTTATGTATGTTTTTTTTTTTTTTGGGCGTAGATTTCCCTCTGTCTGTCTCCTCGTCTGGTCGTCTCTCCTCAAATTGTTGGCTTGTTAATATTATTAACAAAAAAAGATTACTGCACTTGCACAAGTCACAATATTTAATTACTTTATTATTTATATAATATTATTTATTGATTTATTAGCATTTAAAAATGCTGATTGGCATTATTAATTTATTTAATAATATTATTTAATTAATTTATTGACTGTCATTTTTCCATTTAATTTCCATTTTAATTGTCTTTAGTGTTTTAAGCATTTAAAAATGCTGATTGGCGTTTAATTTTCATTTATTAAACTGATTTTAATTTAATTTATTAACCCAAGCATTTTCCTTTATTTGATTTTAATTTAATTTAATTTTTATTTTATTGGAAAATATTAAAAACACTTGTAAAAATTTTTTTTTTAGTTTGAGTGTTCTTGTTGCGCGCGGGCGCGGGCGCTGGCCGGCCGGCTGTCTGGAGCTCGGCGAAAACACGTCCGTCCACGACGAGCCAACCACAAGAACTTCAAAATGCTTTATTGTTGTCCATTTCTACTTAAACTATGCGTCACAAATCAGAAATTTTGACAACATTGGGTGACTCTTATAATTTACAAGACATATACTCTCTGGATTGTGAGGCAGAGACAATTGACATTGATTAACATTGAGATACATTTAACATGGATTCTCGACTAACCTACTTATTAACAGTGCCAAAATGAGTACGATTAACATTCTTAGTGTAGGTCAGTTTAACATGGGGGAAATTTTTTGCGATCAGTTGGCAATGCTGACGCAGTGTTGGCAAGTACATGTGTATTAGGAAGCATGCTGCTCGCATGTAAGTATTTGAATATTATTAATTTTAACAAAATTATTGGCTAGTTTAATTTGATTTCTATATCTACTTTGTATCGCACCGCTTTGCGGTGCGCAGGTCGCCTGGCTATTGCCCTGGAGTGGGTAATTTGGATCCCATGGAGACCAGGTCGTCGCTTGGCAGGCTGAGCCTGCAGCCATATGCGCTCTGTGGCCACGGATGTGACGAGCGCCTTCCAGGTGATGGATTGATGCTGTGCCCTTAGGCCGATGCTGGATAGGAGTAACCATACCCCCAAGATTTTTGGCCATTGTACTACCCATTTGCCACTAGTGTAGTGGATAAGTATGCACGCTGGCTTATTGGCATGCCGTTGTTGTTGCATTCGGCTTCTCTTTGGCGAGGGAGGATCAGCATAAGCGGGGTCCACATGGTGCCGTTTGCCGAGCTGTAGTCGCTGTTGGGATAATTGTAGATCCCAGGTTGAAGCTAAGTACCTGCATGGTTTTTTTGGCGTCAGCTCTGATTCAGAGACTGTGTGCTTGATGGCTGGACGTTTTTGCTGATATTCGTTATTCTTGCAGGTATTGTTAGGCCGTTGAGCGGTTTGAGATGGGATTCTCTTCCGTTTCAGCCTATTGGCTGGCGACGTGTCTTGGAGCTGCTGTTGCTGCGGCTGCGGAGTGGCTGGTAGCTGCCGGGTATCCAGCAGCTGAATTGATTGTTGCAGTTTCTGCTGTGAAAGCACCGTCTGGGCTGTCTGCGTAGGCTGCTGCTGCTGTGGCGGCTCATTGTCGTCATCTGCGTGGATTGGTGCCATCAGGCCGGTAGGCTGCTCATTTAGCCGGATTAGCTGATTACCAGAGGTAGGTATCTGTGAAATAAAAGAATGTGTGTTATTGTCCACGCCACTGGGGCTGCTGTTGATCCAAATGACAGAGTCATCATCATCATCATTGTTGGAATCGTCTGCCGTCAGGTCATATATTGTCCGTTGGGCTGATTGGTGGGCTGTTTGAATCCTCTGTTGCTCATTGTGGCTTTGTTGCTGCATCTCATCTATTTCGCGTTCAATTTGGATTCTGATTTGTTCCAAACGTTGGCTTAGTTGCTGTTCATCATTGTTGTTGTTTAGGTGTTCCTGTTGTTGTTGCTGTTGGCCAGTTGGTGGTGGTGTTTGCGCTATTTGTATATCAGACAGGATTAGTTTTTGTATGATGGCTGGTTGATCCCGGATGAAATCAATTAGATTTTCGCTTGACATGAGTCCACTTCTGTAGCGACGTCTAAGCGTGTTTATTTGTCCCTCGCCGAATCGAATGGTAGGTCTTGGCCGCTGTCCGTATGTATCTGTATTTAGACTGGGCGCATTGGCTTGTCTCCTTGCCTCCTGTTCCTCATGCTCAAGTCGCAGGAGTGTTGGCAGTCTGTCCTCCATTTCTTGGTCATCGGTTGTTAGGTGCTGCTGCTGCAATTGTTGCAAGGGGCGCACGTGACGTTCAAGCTGGAGCGAGTATAAGGGCCTATTTAGGCGTATTGGCGTATATGGTTCGCTTATTAGTTTGCGAGCATTTATATTTGGATGGTTGCTGAGGGCTCTAGCAAACCTTTCGCTAGCCTGTTGGTAGATTTCATCCACCGTGTCTATGCCGTGGGATTCCCGTATTGTCTGATTGCGCGTGTATCTTGTGGCCTTGGCTATTCTGCGTAGAATTTTATTTTGACCAACTTCAAGGCGATTGAATTGTGTTGATGATAATAATGCACCCCAAATTGGGAGTGCATAGCGCCATATTGGTGCAATCATTTGCTTATATATCGTCATTTTGCATGCGATATTTAGCGGGCTCTTGGCACCAATAAGCCAATCCAATTTTTTGCACAGTGCACCAGTGCGTGCACATAGCGTAGTGACGTGTTGTTTCATGTTCAGCTTCTTGTCCAGCTGAACTCCCAAATATTGGTGTCTTGATTTGTTGGCTATTTCCTGACCGTTTAGCCTTGGTGAAGTTACTGTCTGGCTTTGTCGTAGTGTCGTGCGCAATGTAAACATGACATGTGCTGTTTTGCTCACATTTACTTGTATGCACCAACGTTTTGTCCATTTCTCAAACGCTTGCAGATATCTATCATTTCTATTGACAGCTATATCGGAAAATGGCGCTGCACACATTACTACCGTGTCGTCGGCAAATGTGGAGAGCAGCATACTGGGAGTTAGTGTTGTATCTGCAGATGCAGATGTTGTTGTTGTAGGCTCATTTGTGGCCCATAAATTCCTCAACGCAGTTGAGGGGAGTGGCATGTCCGATGTGTATACTGTGTACAGTATCGGTCCCAATACACTGCCCTGGGGTACTCCAGCGCTAATATGTCCAATTCTCGATTTAGTTCCCTCATTTCCATTTACAATAAATGTACGGTCAGTGAGATAGCTTTTGAGTACATTCCACAAAACTGCAGGTAGTAATTTGGCCAGTTTGCTTAGCAGACCCTCGTGCCAGACACGATCAAATGCTTCGCAGATGTCGATGAACACAGCCGAGCAGTATTGTTTCTTTTCATACGCATTCAGTATGAATTGCGTTACTCTCGCCAATTGTTGTTCTGTGCCATGTTCCTTGCGGAATCCAAATTGGTGGTTCGGTATTGACTGGGCAAAGTTTTTGCATTCAAACATCCTCGTCATAAGGATTCGTTCGAATATCTTGCTGAACCCTGCCAGCAGACTTATTGGCCGGTAGGAGCTAGCCTTTTCCGTTGGTTTACCCGTTTTTAGGATCATTTTAATCTCTGCACATTTCCATTGGCGCGGAAAATGTCCGTGTCTAAGTATGCAGTTGTAAATGTGAGTGAGATATAGTATCGCTTTATGCGGAAGTGACTTAATAACATGATTGTCAATGTTATCAATGCCCGGCGTCTTTTTTAATGTCAAGGCGGCAATCAGTTGACATACCTCCTTGTCTGTGACTGGGCGGAATGGCGGTGTATTTATCTGCCCATGCTGCTGTTGTTGCTGTAGTTGCATAAACTGAGTCACCTCATTGCTGGTCTGTGATCGCTCTTCAGCCGTATTTGTTAAGTTTAGGCTGAATCTTTGCTCAAGGTATGCTGCAAAGACTTCTGCCTTCTGCTCATTCGTTTTTGTCCATTCAATAGTTCTATTATGATTTTGTATACCATTGCCATTGGACGTAGTGGTGCCAGAGATAATTTTTAATGGGCGATTCGGCTCTGGCTGACGTTTTATGAAGTTTGTGGTCCTCCATAATTGTTGTATCCGATTTGTGTCCGTTTCGTTTATCTTTGCTATTTGCCGGTTAAGATTATCATTCTTATCACGGCGCAGTAATCTATTTAGACGGTTTTGAGCCTGTCTGTATTGGCTGCGTGCTAACGGTGTGCGTAGCAGCATATATGAAGATTTTAGTTGCCTTTTTATTATTATTTGCCTCAGAGTGCTTGCGCTTAATTTATTTCGGCCATATCTCGTGCGACTTAATTGCTGCCATCTTCGGCGGAGGGGGGGAGTTGCAGCTGAGGCTGCATTCTCTATTTTTCTATACAGGATGTCGATTGCATCCTCTATGTCAGTTCCCGAATTAATTTCGATGTTTAATCGTAGATTTTGATTAAGTATTCTCTTAAATTTCTTGATATTTGCATTCCTTGGCAAAATTTTATTTTTTACATTGTTTCTATTCAGTGCCTGACCGATAGCCAGGTCAATAAGTATTGGCAGGTGATCAGAGTTTAGGTCGTTTATCGAATATGTACGTAGACGCCTGTCTCCAATGCCTCCATAGATGGCGAAGTCGATTGCGGATGGTTGATTCCCTCTTGCGTAGGGATAATGCGTGGTTCCGCCCGTCGCTAATATGTTATATTTTTTGTTCGAGTGTATTGTCCTCAATAGCTCCCTCCCTCGTTGGCAGTGTCGCATATTGCCCCACCAAGTGCTTTTGGCATTCCAGTCGCCACATATTATGAATCCCTGCGGACTCAGGCTATCAATGTGGCTAAGTAGTTTGCCAAAGTTTTCTGACGTCCATTTATATTGCGGTGGGCAATATATCGGAGCGACTAAAATGGTTTCCTGTGTTGATAAGGTGATGGCAACTGGTGCGCATTGGCAGGCATCTTGCATTATTGGTTCCAGAGCAATATGCTTGATGCCATGTCTGATGAGTATGGCGACACCTCCAAATCTTTGATTTGGTGCTTTACGTGTTGCCACATATGTGTGATAGCCATCTATGCTTGGTGAGACGTTGTTCGCAAATGGTCCTCTGACTGAGTTAGATGCTGACTGGCTGGCTCTTTGGCGTAATTCAATGACCATCATAATGTCAACATTGTGATGGCACATAAAGGCTTCCATTTCTCTGCACTTGTTGGATACTCCAGCAGCGTTCCAATAGGCCATTTTGAATGGGTGGCCACATTGTCTGCTACTGGCATGATTCCTAGTGTTATTGGCTAAGGTATTATTACTAGTTTGTATAGTAGTAGTGTCTAAATTGTTATTATTATTAATATTATTTAATGTGTTGGCATTGGTATTGTTTATATTAACGAATTGGCTGTTAGACATTTTTAAGGTCATTGGCGGCATTGAATGAGCTAGCAATGATGCTAGCTAACATTAAGGTGGCTGGGCATAGTATGTCCAGTGATTGTATCTCAGCATTATTTTTTAAAGTTGCTGTGTTATCCCGTGGGATGAGATGTTTATGGGCACAGTGCGAGTCTGTGTCAGTATTGGCTGGGCTGTCAGTATACATGTTGCCGTGTACTTGCGCTCTAGCAACATGTTGCTGACGCCCCATGTTCTCGCTCCAAACATTTGGCTCTGAGTTCGTATCGAACATGTTGCCATGTTCGCTCTCACTCAGTCCATTGCTGTCGCTGTTGAATTCACTCAGCTCAGTTGCTGCTCTGCTGCCGCTGCCACCGCCACTCAAACGATCAAGTGGAGCCTCTGCCGACGCAAGCGCCGACAGCGACTGAGCTGCAGAGAGCGGAGTCGCTCGCTTATGTTTCGGCTTCGGCTTTCTCTTCTTCTGCTGCTGATGTTGTTGCTGCTTCTGATGATGTAGCGGTTGCCGTTGCTGGTGTTGGTGTGGATGCTGATTCAGCTGTATTGGAGTGCCAATGGCTACAGGTGCCGGGGTATGGGGGGCAACTTTCGCTGCAGCGATGGCCGCCTCCGCTTTAGACGCCGCCTTTTCGCGCATTTTTTCGCTTATATACTTTGCTTATATACTTGCCAAAATTTGCATATACGTAGTTATATGTATAATTTATGTATGTTTTTTTTTTTTTTGGGCGTAGATTTCCCTCTGTCTGTCTCCTCGTCTGGTCGTCTCTCCTCAAATTGTTGGCTTGTTAATATTATTAACAAAAAAGATTACTGCACTTGCACAAGTCACAATATTTAATTACTTTATTATTTATATAATATTATTTATTGATTTATTAGCATTTAAAAATGCTGATTGGCATTATTAATTTATTTAATAATATTATTTAATTAATTTATTGACTGTCATTTTTCCATTTAATTTCCATTTTAATTGTCTTTGGTGTTTTAAGCATTTAAAAATGCTGATTGGCGTTTAATTTTCATTTATTAAACTGATTTTAATTTAATTTATTAACCCAAGCATTTTCCTTTATTTGATTTTAATTTAATTTTTATTTTATTGGAAAATATTAAAAACACTTGATAATTTTTTTTCGTTAGTTTGAGTGTTCTTGTTGCGCGCGGGCGCGGGCGCTGGCCGGCCGGCTGTCTGGAGCTCGGCGAAAACACGTCCGTCCACGACGAGCCAACCACAAGAACTTCAAAATGCTTTATTGTTGTCCATTTCTACTTAAACTATACGTCACAAATCAGAAATTTTGACAACATTGGGTGACTCTTATAATTTACAAGACATATACTCTCTGGATTGTGAGGCAGAGACAATTGACATTGATTAACATTGAGATACATTTAACATGGATTCTCGACTAACCTACTTATTAACAGTGCCAAAATGAGTACGATTAACATTCTAAGTGTAGGTCAGTTAGC